TGGAGAAACGAAAACCTGAATGACACTAAACCGACACTCATCAATCCTGATATTCCCCAATTGAATTATGGGATAGCTAGTGATGGCGTAATCATATATTCAGTAAAATATCAGTTGTCTGTATTTTTCACGTTATTGTCATTGGGGTTACATAACAAACACAGTTTTATATGTGCTCGTTTTTGAAGTCATTTTAATACCTTATGATTGTACTTTTTATCTAGCATGAAAAGTAAATTTCCTGTGAAATATTTAAATTTAGGGTTTATAGAGCTCTCAGCATGCCTCTTTAATGGTGCAATTTTATATTTCACACTGTTAGTACCAGTTAAATCATTTTAATTATCCCATTCAAGCATAACTCTTGATGCTTGGGTTATTACTCAAGCAGCGTTAATATAATAATGATCTCTGTGGCTATTCAGAAACAACCATTAAAACAGTAAAGGCTTTTTAGTTAGTTTTAATATTCATGTTATACAGTCAAACCTGTGTATAGCGACCACTCAAGGGACTTCATTAAGATGGTCTTTATAGACAGGTGGTCTTTATATGGAAGTTGAAATATTTTTTTTATGAATAGCTAACTCATACATGACATAATATTTGTTCAGAAAATATTGAGGTGGTTCTGTTTATTTCAGTTGATCAAAATCAGATAGATTTGAAAAAAAAATGCAAATTTTTTATATTTGTCTTTAAACACAAGCAAATATGTAAAAGTATTTTCAGATAAGACAGGTGGTATTTATGCACATCTTGCTTATATGTTATGCCTCAGGACTGCCTTAGCATGGTCACTATAAGACAGGTGGTCTCTATACACAGGTTGTTTATACGTTATGCCTTGGGACTGCCTAAATGTGGTCACTATAGGCAGGTGGTATTTATACGTAGGTTGCTTATACGTTATACCTTGAGACTGCCTAAATGTGGTCACTATAGACAGGTGGTCTTTATACACAGGTTGCTTATAGATGTACATTATGCCTTGGGACTGTCTAAATGTGGTCACTATAGGCAGGTAGTCTCTATACACAGGTTGCTTATACGTTATACCTTGAGACTGCCTAAATGTGCTCACTATAGGCAGGTAGTCTCTATACACAGGTTGCTTATACATTATACCTTGAGACTGCCTAAATGTGGTCACTATAGGCAGGTAGTCTCTATACACAGGTTGCTTATACATTATGCCTTGTGACTGCCTAAATGTGCTCACTATAGACAGGTGGTGTTTATACACAGGTTGCTTATAGATGTACATTATGCCTTGGGACTGCCTAAATGTGGTCACTATAGACAGGTGGTGTTTATACACAGGTTGCTTATAGATGTACATTATGCCTTGGGACTGCCTAAATGTGGTCACTATAGACAGGTGGTGTTTATACACAGGTTGCTTATAGATGTACATTATGCCTTGGGACTGCCTAAATGTG